TTACGCGGGCCAAGGGCCTGTCTGCCCCTCGCCCCCTCCACCAGCGAGTAGCTGGGGGTGCACAAGGAGCTGGGGAGGGCACAGCCAGGACAGCTGACCCCAATGACCCAAGGGATATCCCATCCCATATGACATCATGCTCAGCAAATAAAGCTGGGGAAGAAGAAGGAAGTTCGGAGTGACGGCGTTTGTCTTCCCAAGTCACGGTTACACGTGATGGAGCCCTGCTGTCCTGGGGAGGGCTGAACTCCTGCCTGCCGTGGGGAGCGGGGAAGGAATGCCTTGGTTTGCTCTGCCTGCGTGCGCGGCTTTTGCTTTCCCTATTGAACTGTCTTTATCTCAAACCCTGAGTTTCACCTTTTTTTTTTTTTTTTCCTGATTCTCTTCCCCATCCCACCGGCGTGGGGGAGTGAGCGACCGGCTGTGTGGTTGTTTTAGCTGCCCGCCGGGTTAAACCACAACACTGCGGGAACTCTCCGGTAGTTGCTAATCGCTGCCCAACACCTTCAGCCACCAGCAAGGGTGAGGATTGCTGATGGGTGGGCGAAGCTGGAGTGTTCCTACTCTGACCCCCTCCAGGCATTTGCTTTTTTCACCTCTGGCTAAAGGTCCAAAAACATGCCACTGGCTTGCTGTGCACCAAGAACCAGCTTTTACTACGGTTCCATGGTGCTAAGCACCCGCTGGTTAGGGATGGTTTTGGTGATGCAGGATTGTGTCCCAGGTCAGTGGCTGACATATAACCCATCTTACACGGACCAAGGGATGATCTCTGTGGAAGCCAAGCAGAAAGCTGAACTAAGAAGCAGAGGTGGTACAAATGCAGCAGTGAGTGGCTCCCGTCAGATGGGCAAGGGGAACAGACGCAGCGCTGTGCTTTCTAACCCACGTGGCTGTGGGAAGTGACTGGAAAGCACAGAGGAGGTTTGAGAGAAGGAACAAAGTGCAGATAAAAGCAACCGGATGTTCACCAGACCCTCTGCCCTTCCTGCAGTTGGGGCCAGCGGTTATCAGAACCCAGTTATTGTTACCCACGGCTCTGCTACGTGGGTTGCAATTGGTCATTCCTGCCTCAGTGCATCAATAAGGAGCTTTGGATTATTTTAAGGCATAATGACCTGAAAGGTGACTGACTGGCATTGGGCAAGAGAACTGCTGATTGTCAGATCCCATCTGCCTTTAATGAACCAGGAAAAACATTTTTGATGATAGAAATACTGACTCAGACCTGGTTCCTGAAAGCCAGGGACAGGGGACAGGCGCAGCCCTGGTGCGGTTGGATATTTGCAGTCAGGGGGTGCCAGGCTGGTACCTAGAGCAGCATGGTGAATTTGGCCCCACCAGCTGTGACCAAAGATGATGCCACCACAGTGATGAAGGGGGACGCACATACGCACCCACAATTCCCCTAGACCAGCTGTCCCTGAGTGTGCTACAGCAGAAGTACGTCTCTCAAAGCTGGCTAAAGCCAGGCCTGCAAAGTCCAGGCAGGAAAGATGCTTCTCCACCTCCCTGGGTGGTTGGAATAGCAGCTATGGGCACCAGCGGCGGTGGGCGAGAGCTGGGTTAGTGGTCTGTGCAAATGCGTTTGACCAATTCCCCCCCGTTTGAGCAGCAATGCTCAGTGGAGTGGCTGCCACGAGGGGCAATAGGTCACCTGAAGAAAATCCCCTTTTTGCACGTGCCCGGGAGAACATTTCCCTCACTCCCCACACCAGTACCCCAAGCTATTTTCCTAGCAATTTCCCTAAACAAGCAGCTGCTGTTTCCCCCTCATTTCCTGCAGCATTTTGCTAGCCTTGGGATTACTGGAGGCACAACCTTCCTTTCACTTTTACATTTGGAGACTATATTCCTGTGGACTATCCTTCTCTAACTCTTCTTTCCACAGCCCTGGAGAAAGGAAAAAATCCCTTTTTGCTTGTCCACAAGACTGTTTCGTGATCCCTGTGACCGACGACTGAACCGAATGTTTTCCAGCAGAAGGCAGTTCGTGTCGGCTGACGCAGCATAGCTGCTCCATTTCCCTTGTAGCTGTGCCGTATGTGATGTATTCCTGTCCGCTGGCACGCTGTCGTCAGTCCATCTTCCCTCTGGTGCTGGGTTCTTTGGCTTTCTGGGCACTTGCGTTAGCACACTGATCTATGAACTCCGTCAATTTGCGCTCCGTCGGTGCCTCCCCTGCCCCTCGCTGGTGTGCTTCTCATGCTTTTGGCCTTTTGTGTCGGCACGCTGCTTGAATCCAGGCACCCTCCGTTTGCAATTTGTTGGCTGTTGGTGCTCTGGCGTCTCTCCGCTGGCGTGCAATGGAAATCCCGTCAGCGTGCCGCTCGCCTGCCAGGCTGCCTCTTGGCAGCTCGATCCTCTGCAGCCCCGGCTGCTCCCTCCCCGCCCCCCGCAAGCTTTTGTGTTCTTGTTCTTTTATCCTGCAAAATTCGTACTGGAAATACCCAGAAGTTTGTGCTCGTTAAGACAAAAGTTAAACCGCAGCATCCAGAAGGGAAAAAGCGTGTTCAAATAGTGCCATCCCACGGAGAGCAAAGGCATCTGTCCTCAGCTCTGCACAGCTTGAATGGGAAAGCAGAAAGTGAAAGTGCTTCTGGCAGCTCCTTCCTGCGCCCGACCCTTGCTGCAGAGCCCCGTGGTGAACTGGGGTGTACTG